TCTTACCACCGAAGTCCAACACTGATCTCTGTCCAACTCGTATCAAGTCTCCAATCTGAAGAAGAAGAAGAGGAAGTCTGAAGAAGGAGAAGAGGAAGTCTGAAGAAGAAGAAGAGAGGACAGAGAAGAGGGGAGACACAGAGCCAGGGGAGAGGGTGAGGGGCCCAGGCCTAACCTGCGTCGTGCAAGATGGTGCCTTGGCCGATGCGGGAGCGTGGATGGCACCACGGAGAGCTATGGCGCTCATGGTACTCAGGTAAGTCTCCCTCCTCGCTCTCCTCTGCTGCCGTGCGCTAAACTTAGTGCTGCAGCTCCAACCGCTGCGCTGAAACAACAATAGCGCAGCGTTCCACTCCTGGGTGCTGCCTCTCCGTTCCAACGTTCCGAGAATGGCCACTGGACCGGCCTAAGTGCCGTCCGGCGGCCGCTTGGCCTTGATGCTGGCCTCCTGCGCCGTGGGCTGAACCGCCGAAATGACCGTTCGGCCCGGACCGGCGGGCGGCAGCCTCAAGAGCGCCGCCAGGCCCAAACGGTTTGTCGTTTGGGCCAGACCTGGGTCTGCTGGCGCTGAGGCTCAACCGGTGGCCTAATAGGGCCTTTTGGGAGGAAAAAGGCCTGGCCTTTGGCAAGGCCGGCCTGGGTACTCCTAAACCGGTGTGTCTCTCGCCTGTGAAGGCCCCTGTGAAGTCGCAGACTGTAACGGAAACATCATTCATTTGTCATTAGGTCATGAAATATACCAAAAGTAGCAGTGAATCATGCCTCAAGACTGATATGTGTGTTTATTTAGTGCTACTTTCTGTACATTACAAGACCTAATGGTCTGCGTAGCACGCCGAACATGTTTGGCGCCCCACCGAACATCCGAACATGTTCGGATGCTCGGTCGAGCAGGAACTGAACATGTTCGGCCGAGTGCAAATTAGGGGGCAGCCGAACGTGTCCTCGTGCGGCTGGTACCGGGCTATGAATCCCTCCAGGCCGTGGTCGCCGCAGTCACGACCGCGGCTTGCAGTCATGGCCACCGACATCGCGGTCATGACCACGGCTGCGGCGATTTTCGTGGCCGCGTAGCGGCCAGAGGGGGAGGAGTTTGGGGGTGGAGGTTGCGGATTGGGGTTCCGGAACTGGGACCCTACCCCCTAGAAAAAACAAAAGTTAAAAAAAATGATTTTTTTTGGCAGGGGAGCCTGGGAGGTGAAAAACTAGGCTGTTTTTCCGGGCACCCAACTTCTGCCCGGGTACAGACCCGGGTGCCCGGCCGGGCATGACCCTCCTGGCAGGGTTCCAGGCAGCCCCAGCGCAAAAAAAAAAAAAAAAAAAACAAATCAAAAATTTCTGCGAAAAAAAAAATGTTGTCTAGAATTGAAATACAAACGACTTTTAGATGAGGGTCACATTATAATTCCTCACAGAATCGGAGATAAGAAAGAAAATAACAGAATCACACAAAGGCACCCCCCTTTAGCCCCTTTAAAACCAGTTTATACCCCCCTCCCCCCCCCTTGACAGCTAACTCACAAAAAACGAAATGAGCCCAGATTTGGGGTCCTCTGGGAGAGAGGAGAAATGCACGCCTGGGTGCCCGGCCGGGCAGGACCGGGCGGGCATGAGAATTTTCCTAGGTGAAAAACAATTAAAAATAAAAAAATAAATAAAATCTTGATTGATTGATTGATTGATTTTGTATAACTGATTGACTGATTGATTGATTTTTTTTATTTTTTTTTTGATTGATAGATTGATTGATTGATTGGTGGGGGAGGGGTCTCCCCACCCTCCAGCCCCCCGCTGCGCGCACACACACACACACACACACACACACACACACTCTGTCACACGGGAACCCGCTGTTTTTTTTTTTCTTATTATTTTGATTGGTTGATTGATTGATTGATTGATTGATTGGCGGGGCTGGGGTCTCCCCGGGCAGTCTGTCCAAAGCCCGAATGACCAAAAAAAAAAAAAAAAAAAAAAATCAAAAAATTCCGAAAAAAGCACTATGTTATGCAGAAAAATAAACTGAACAGGTTTTGCCTTGGGGTTACATAAAAATTCTTAATAAAATTTAAAATAAAAAATAAAACGAAATTCTTTAAAAAAAATTAATTTTGAGATTTAAAATAAAAATAAAACTATGTTATACAGAAAAATAAAATGAACAACTTTTGCCTTGGCCTTGCTACTGTTTCCTTCCCAGTGTGAGTGTGAGTGTGAGTGTGTGTGTGTGTGTGCGTGGTTGTCAGTGTATGTTTGTGTGTGTAGACAGTGCATCTGTGTGTGTGTACATAGAGCGCGTGTGTGTGCAGACAGTGTGTGTGTGTGTGTGCGAGTAGATAGTGTGTGTGTTTGACTGTGTGTATGTGTGCTCACGTGCTTGTCACTCGTTGTGTTTGTGTGTGGATAAAATGTGTGTGTGTGTGTTTGCGTGTGTGTGTGTGCAGTCAGCAACTGCTGCACATGCAGTGAACCATCCGCTGCAGCAGATGGAGCAGCTGCAGTCACAGCGGCATCCACAAACACACACACACACACATTTTATCGATACACTATCACACCTCCCCCACCGTATCTGATTTTTTTTTTGTTTTTTCTCAGAACAGCCTGAATTTTTTGGGGGAGGTCCCCTAGTGGTGCGCAGACCTCCCCGGTTTTTTTTATTTTTTTCGTGTTTTTTTTGGCAAAAAAGCAGTTGTCCGATTTTCCGGACAACTCCCCCCTGACCGTCTCCCGGAGACGTCCGGGGGAGATGTCTCCCCATCGGACAGCTGGTAACATAGAAAAAAATTTTAACTCATTGGATTACGCACACCAAAAGAGAGCCCTGGAAAACCTCAACAAACAACCCGGAAGGAAAGAAAAGAGTTCTCTGGGACATTTACCCAGCATAGGGAATATGTGTCGGGGTGAGAAATCCAGACACAGAAATGGCAAAATCCAGACCGCTGTCCTGATACCCGCCGACCCTGAACAAAAGAAAAAGTGCCTCAGGCCTGAAAAAAAACGCACAAACCAACAAAACCAGCTAAAATAACCTTACCACACGGCCTGAAACCCGCAACAAAACGGAAAAAGAAAGAAAAGCTAAAGAACTCCTCACGGCCTGAAAAGCCACACAAACCTAAAGGAACCATCCAACCCACATGGGCCACAAAACCTTCACAAACCAGGAGCCAAGCAATCCTTGACAAAGGGCCACCACTTCTGCTACAGAATGGGCAAAGTATTATCTCCTTACAGAGAGATTACTAACTACTAGAACGAAATGCACTACTTAACAGCAAGGAAAAGAAAAAGACCCCTAGAGCACAGTTGGGGTCCTCATGGAGCCCTAGAAACTAATAGCCACACTCCCTCCGCCTTCTACACCTTCCGCCTGTCTCCTGTGACCAAGCCATAACCGACTGTGCATGTTAGTAAAACAGAACAAATTTAAAGACTGGGGGATAACCTA